CACTCGCGCATTTTGGGACCATTTTGGTCCATCTTGGTTTATTCTGGGACCATTTTGGTTCATCTTGGGTGCATCCCGGGCTGGGCTCTTGTGCTGCCCCGGTGGATCCATGGAAGAGATCCTTTTAACCAATCCCTGCTTTATTCTTTAATTCTGTCTGGTCTCTGCTCTAGCTCAGCCTCCCCAAGGCATCACAAGGGCCAGGCCACATCCCTGCAGGGATCAGGACTGCTGGAAAACCTTTCCACAAAGGAATTTTCCCAGTATCCAACCTAAACTTCCCCTGGCCATTCCCTCTTATCCCATCCCCTGTTCCCCCTGTCCCTTGTAGGGACACCACCACCCATCCCCTGCACCATTCCCACCTCCAGAAGGAGACAATCCCACCCAGATCTATCCCATGGATTGGCTGCTACCCCTGACACATTTCGGAGGATCAATCCCTTTTTCTGATTCGAATGAAAACAAAAATCCCCAATGCAGAGACAAACCCACTTCTGTTATGTGAAGCAAAGCAATTCCATGTCTTGGCCTTGAAATCCATGGAATGCAACCATTTGGAAAGTTCAAAACTGACCCATCCACCAGCAGAAGCTGCTGATCCTCCACAGAACACCTTTGTGGACAATCACACCAGCAAATCCATAATAAATCCAAATTAAATCCATAATAAATCCAAATTAAATCCATATTAAATCCAAATTTAGTCCATATTAAATCCAAATTATTTGTACATAATAAACCCATAATAAACGCATATTAAATCCATATAAAATCCATATCAAACCCACACCCTCGACTCAAACCAAGGCCTGGCAGTCCCTCCAATAGGATTCCCAATCCCGTCTCCACGATCCATGTTTCTCCCTGAAGTTTCCCCAAACAAAGTGGCACTTTCAGCCCCCCCAGCCTTTCAGCTCCCTCCTAATTCCCAATTAACAAACTCCTGCTCCAGCTCCCAGCTCCGCCTGGAGCGCTGGGATTTTCCTCCAAGATAAACACAGCCACGCATTTTGGGGAGGGGAACTTCTCATTCCAAGAAAATCTCACAGTGACGTGGCCAAATGACCTAATTATGAACAGATGAGGGGCACAAAAAGATGTTTTATAGGAACGGGGCTTCTGACAGTTCCTTTCCCTCAGCAAACCCGTGTGGATCGCTGGGAAACTGGGAAACAATTCCCTCTGCAGGCTGGAAGGGAGGAGAGCTGGCAACACAGAGCTCCTTTCATCTCCTGCCTGGGATCTGGGTTGCCCAACCACAGGGGAAGAGCCCCACGACAGCTCCTGGGCTCCAGTGGCCCTGGAAAAGGGATGCAGGTTCCCTGGAATGGCAGATTCAGGGCTTGGATGCTCCTGGAAGCCTCCCTAAAATGGAAAATTGGAGGCAGAGCTCCACAGGTTCCCTGGATCAAGAAATTCAAGGCTCAGATGCATCCCCAAAATTAAAATTTTGAGGGTGAGTTCCCAAGGCCCTGGAAAAGGGATGAGACTCCATAAGTTCCTTGGAATGGCAGATTAAGGGCTTGGATGCTGCTGGAAGCATCCCAAAAATTCAGGGTTGGAGGATGAATTCTAAATATCCCTAGAAAGGGATGAGGCTCCACAGGTTCTTTGGATCAAGAAATTCAAGGCTCAGATGTATCCACAAAATTAAAATTTGGAGGATGAGCTCCTAAGGCACCAGAAAAGAGATGAGACTCCACAAGTTCCTTGGAATGGTACATTGAAGGCTCGGATGCAACCCTGAAATTCAGAGTTGGAGGCTGAGATCCAAAGGCCCTGGAAAAGGAATGAGACTCCACAAGTTCCTTGGAATGGCAGATTCAGGGCTTGGATACTCCTGGAACCATCCCTAAAATGGAAAGCTGGAGGGAGAGCTCCAAACCATCCTAAAAAGGGATAAGGCTCCACAGGTTCTATGGATCAGGAAATTCAAGGCTCAGGTGCATTCCTGAAATTCAGAGTTGGACGGTGAGCTCCAAATGTCCCTAGAAAGGGACGAGGCTCCACAGGTTCCTTGGATCAGGAAATTCAAGGCTCAGATGCATCCCCAAAATTAAAATTTGGAGGGTGAGCTCCAAAGGCCATGGAAAAGGGATGCAGGTTCCTTGGAATGGCAAAATCAAGGCCTGGATGCTACTGGAAGCATCCCTGAAATTCAGAGTTGGAGGATGAGTTCCAAATGCCCCTAAAAAGGGATGAGGTTCCACAGGTTCTGTGGATCAGGAAATTCAAGGCTCAGATACATTCCTGAAATTCAGAGTTAGAGCATGAGTTCCAAAGGTCCCTAAAAAGGGATGAGGCTCCACAAAGTTCTTTAGATCAGGAAATTTAAGGCTCAAATGCATCCATGAAATTCTGAGTGAGAGAGTGAGCTCCCAAGGCCCTGGAAAAGGGAAGAGACTCCACAAGTTCTTTGGAATGGCACCGTCAAAGCTTGGAAGCATCCCTGAAATTGAAGGTTGGGGAGAGAGCTCCAAAGGCCCAGGAAAAAGGGAAAGACTCCACAAGTTCCTTGGAATGGGACATTAAAGGCTTGGATTCATCCCCAAAATTAAAATTTGGAGGGTGACCTCCTAAGGCCCTGAAAAAGGGAAGAGACTCCACAAGTTCCTTGGAATGCAGGATTCAGGGCTTGGATGATCCTGGAAACGTCCTCAAAATTCAAAATTGGAGGGTGAGCTCCAAATGTCCCTAGAAAGGGATGAGGCTCCAGAGGTTCCTTGGAACAGGAGATTTAAGGCTTGGAAGCTGCTGGAAGCATCCCAAAAATTCCCAGTTCAAAGTTGGAGGATGAGCTCCAAAAGTTCCTTATCTGCCCTCCTTATAAATGAATATTTTTAAAAATCCACGTACTCAGAATTCCCAGGAGCCAGCCCGTGGAAACCGGAGCTCTCTGGGACAGCTCCAAGGAACCATTTTCGGTTAAAAACCAAACTCCTGGCACAGTCTGTGGGAATTTTTCCCTCAGGAATCTCGGAGTGATCCGGGCAAGGGTGGATTTGGGGATGGCAGCAAAGCTGCTCCTGTCAGACAGAGCTGGCAGGGCAGGGAAGGTCTCCAGGGTGCAGCAAATGATCCATTTCTGAGGAATTCCTCCCCAAAACTCCTCCTTTTCCATGGAATAGTGAAATTACCGTGGCTAAAGAAGAATCCTTGGAGAAAACAGCATTGGAATCTGACCAATTCCTGCCCAAAACTCCTCCATTCCCATGGAATAATGAAATTCCTGCACCCAAAGAGGAATTCTTGGAGAATATAATGTCAGAATCCAACCAATTCCTGCCCAAATTTCTCCTGTTTCAATGGAATAATGAAGTTAATGAATCCAAAAAAATCTCAGAGATAATGGTATCAAGCATCCAATCAATTCCTGCCCAAAACTCTTCCATTTCCATGGAATATTGAAATGACTGCATCCAAAAAAGTATTGTTGGAGCAAACACATCAGAATCCAACCAATTCCTTCCCAAAATTCTCCCATTCCCACAGAATAATTCACTTTCTTTGGAAAAACAGCATCAGAATCCAACCATTCCCTGCCCAAAATTCCTTCATTCCCATGGAGTAACAAAATTCCTGCATCCAAAGAGGAATTCTTCTAGAAAACAATGTCAGAATCCAACCAATTCCTGCCCTAAATTCTCCCATTCCTACAGAACAATTAATTTTCCTTGGGAAACCAGCATCAGAATCCAACCAATTCCTCACCAGAACTCCTCTGTTTTCAAGAAATAATGAAATTCTTGCATTCAAAGAGGAATTCTTGGAGAATACAATGTCAGAATCCAACCAATTCCTCACCAGAATTCCTCTGTTTTCAAGAAATAATGAAATTCTTGCATTCAAAGAGGAATTCTTGGAGAATACAATGTCAGAATCCAACCAATTCCTGCCCAAATTTCTCCTATTTCAATGGAATAATGAAGTTAATGAAACCAAAAAAATCTCAGAGATAACGGTATCAAGAATCCAATCAATTCTTGCCCAAAACTCTTCCATTTCCATGGAATATTGAAATTACTGCATCCAAAAAAAGTATTGTTGGAGGAAACAGCATCAGAATCCCACCAATTCCTTCCCAAAACTCCCCACTTCCTACAGAATAACAAAATTACTGAATCCAAAGAAGAACTCTTGGAGGAAGCAGCATCAGACTCCAACCAATTCCTGCCCAAAACTCCTCCATTCCCATGGAATAACGAAATTCCTGCATCCAAAGAGGAATTCTTGGGGAAAACAATGTCAGAATCCAACCAATTCTTCCCCAAATTTCTCCCATTTCAATGGAATAATGAAGTTCATGAATCCAAAGAATTCTCAGAGATAATGGTATCAAGAATCCAATCAATTCCTGCCCAAAATTCCTCCATTTCCAAGGAATAATGGAATTACTGATCCAAAGAGCAATTCTTGGAGCAAACAATGTCAGAATCCAACCAATTCCTGCTCAGATTCCTCCTATTTCAATGGAATAATGAAGTTCGTGGATCCAAAGAGGAATTCTTGATGGAAAACAGCATCAGACTCCAACCAATTCCTCCCAAAAATTCCTCCATTTCCAATGAATAATGGAACTACTGCATCCAAAGAGGAATTCTGGGAGGAAACAGCATCAGATTCCAACCAATTCCACCTCAAAATTCTCCCATTCCCACAGGATAGTTCATTTTCCTGGAAAAACAGCGTCAGAATCCAACCAATCCCTCCCCAAAATTTGTCCATTCCCATGGAATAACGAAATTCCTGCATCCAAAGAGGAATTCTTGGAGGAAAATCCAACAACTAAGAATATAAACACATTCAAAATTCCAGATTTGGGACAGGAGGAAATTCCCTTTGCGTTTCCACGCCCTGCATGAAGGAATTCCAGAGATTTTCCCCAAATCCATCCTTCCCTGGATTTTTCCTCCCTCAGGGATGCACACCCCAGGATGAAGGAGGGAGGAGCAGATCCATGGAATTCCCCAGAGCAGGAAAATCCCAGATTCACTCACCAGGACAGAGTAGATGTGGAGGCATCGATAGACCGGGGAGAAATCCACCAAATCCTGGGCTCCAGGCACCTGAAATAGGGAGAAAAATCCATGAAAAACGTGGGAAACTCACCAAAAATCCATGGGTCAGGAAGCAAAACTGCAAGAAATTTAATTATGGGGAAGCGGAGCAGTAAAATGTCGCACACAGACAAGCGAAACCCTAAAAAAATCACATTTAAATAAGTTTATCGATCAAAAAAATTGCATTTAGGTGAATGAAACCATGAAAAAATCAAATTTAAATAAGAGTCACTAAAAAATCCCATCTAGGTGAGTGCAAATTAAAAATTTCATTTATAAGTAAGTAGAACTGCAAAGAATTTAAATGTGGGTAAGTGGAACTCTAAAATATCACAGACACACAACTGAAATCCTAAAAAAAATGATATTTAAATAAGTTTGTCTCTCAAAAAATCACATTAAGTGGATGAAACTATTAAAAAAATTCAAATTTAAGTGTCACTAAAAACATCCATCTAGGTGAGTGCAAGTCACAAAAATTTCATTTATAAATAAGTAGAACTGCAAAAAATTTAAATATGGGTAAGCGAAATTCTAAAATATCACAGAGAGACAACCGAAATCCTACTAAAAACAATCACACTGAAATAAGTTTATCACTCAAAAAAAATCACATTTAAGTGAATGAAAAAATTAAATTTAAATAAGCACCACTCTAAGTATCCCATCCAGGTGAGTGCAACTCACAAAAATTTCATTTATAAGTAAGTAGAACTGAAAAGAATTTAAATGTGGGTATATGGAACTCTAAAATATCACAGACAGACAACTGAAATCCTAAAAAAACCCCCACATTTAAATAAGTTTATCATTCAAAAAAATTTAGGTGAATGAAACAATAAAAAAAAAAAAATTTAAATAAGCATCACTCTAAAAAACCCCACCTAGGTGAGTGCAAGTCATAAAAATTTCATTTATAAATAACAGAACTACAAAAAATTTAAATATGGGCAAGTGGAAGTGTAAAATATCACAGAGAGACAAGTGAAATCCTAAAAAAAAAATCCCATTTAAATAAGTTTGTCACCCCCAAAAAAATCATATTTAGGTGAATGAAACTATCAAAAAAAATCAAATTTAAGTAAGAGTCACTAAAAATCCCATCCATGTGAGTACAAGTCATAAAAATTTCATTTATAAATAACAGAAGTGCAAAAAATTTAAATATGGGCAAGTGGAATTCTAAAATATCACAATGAAACAACTGAAATCCTAAAAAAAACCAAAGATAAATGAAAGCCATTCCAAAAAAATCACATTTGGGTAAACGAAATTATTAAAAAATCATAGAAATAATATTTGTTTTATCATAAATTATGTAAAAAATATAATTTATCAAAATATTTTGTAAAGAATTCTATAAATTCATGTCACTCCAAAATGCCAATTTTAGGTGAGTGCAACTCTAAAAAATTCAAATTTAAATCAATCCCACGCAAAAAAAAAATCACATTTAGGAAAATGAAACACTAAAAAAATCACATCTAAATCAGTGTAACTCCAAAAAAATCACTTTTGGGTGAGTGTAGATCTAAAATATTCCAACTTAAATAAATTCCACCCTAAAAAACCACATTTAGATGAGTTCAACTCTAAAAAAATCTCATAAATTAACGACACTCTAAGAAATCCAATTTAGGTGAATGAAACTATAAAAAAAATCACATCTAGATCAATATATCTAAAAAAAAATTCTGATTTTAAAAATGCTAACATTAAATGTGTCACTTCAAAAAATCACTTTTAGCTGAGGACAATTCTAAAAACTAAAATATAAAGAAATTCCACTCTCAAAAATCATATTTAGGCAAATAAAACTATAAAAAATTACATCTATTTAAATGTAACTTCAAGAAAGTTAGGTGAGTTTAGCTCTAAAAAATTTAAATAGAACCAAATTCCACTGTAAAAAACACTTTTAGGTGAATAGAACTCAAAAAAAATCAAATATAAATAAATTCCACTCTAAAAAAATCAGTTCTAGTTGAATTTAACTCTAAAAAATCCCATTTAAATACGTTTATCACAGCAAAATACCATTTCTAGGTGAGAGCAGCTTCAACACCAGTGGGTCCAGGGCAAACCCAGGATTCCAGGCATGGAAAAATTCCATTTAATTCCTGGGATCTCCCCAAATATTCTGATTTTTCAGGCCTTGGAAGCAGGAAAATGCCTTTAAATGTTGGTTTTGCTCCACTGAAATTCCACGGAACGCTGGGAATCATTCCAGGCACAGAATCCAAGGGATGCTGGCACCACCCATGCAACAAAAAGTGGGGAAAAAGGCAAAAAAAGGGCAAAAAACAAGTAATTATTTGGATTTTGCTTGAAAGCCCCATTTGGGTTTGATTTTTCCTGGTTTTTTCCCTCGGGAAGGGAATTTGGGCTGGGTGGGATCAGAGGGGGAATTTGCATTTTGCGTCCTTTGGGGATATTGCCTTGGCTCTCCTTGGGGGCTGGAAGCTCCAGCACCCCAAATAGCAGGAAAAGGGAGGGTTCTGCGGGAATGGGGTGGGAAAAGGGCAGGGATGGAAGAGCCATGGATAGCCCTGGAAATGGGGTGGGTTTGGGGTTTCAGTGAGGCTGGAGGGGAGCTCGGGGCTCAGGGAGGATTCCCAATCCCAAAGCGCCCCAGGAAGGGGCCTGGAGGCTCCTCAGGAGGGATGGGGAGGGAAAACTGGGATTGGGATGAACTCCTCCATGAGGGGGAAATGGAGCTGGTAAAGGATCGCAGGGTGTGAGGGAAATCAGTCCTGGCAGGAGCTGAAATGGGGGATCCCAGGATCCCAGACAGGTTAGGGATGGGACGGACCCTAATGGAGGAACTCTGAGGTGATCCAGGACGGGATTCCCACATCCGCATCCTCAGGATTTTGTGGGATAAACTCCTCTGTGGGGTGGAAATGGAGCTGTTAAAGGATCACAGGGAGAGAGGGAAATCAGTCCTGGCTGCAACTGAAATGGGGGATGCTAGGATTGGTTTGGGATGGGAGGGGCCCTAACTGGGGGATCCCGAGGTGATCCAGGATGGGATTCCCACATCTACACCCTCAGGATTTTATGGGATAAACTCCTCTGTGAGGTGGAACTGGAGCTGGTAAAGGATTCTGGGGTATGAGGGAAATCAGTCCTGGGAGCTGAAATGGGGGATTCCAGGATCCCAGACGGGTTTGGGATGGGAGAGATCCTAATGGAGGAGCTCTGAGATGATCCAGGATGGGATTCCCACACCTGTACCCTCAGGATTTTGTGGGATAAACTCCTCCGTGAGGTGGAACTGGAGCTGTTAATGGATCACAGGGTGAGAGGGAAATCAGTCCTGGCTGGAGCTGAAATGGGGGATTCCAGGATCCCAGACAGGTTTGGGATCCCTTAATGGCCATCCTGAGGTGATCCCAGTGCTGCAGGATGGGATTCCCACACCTGCACCCTCAGGATGTTGTGGGATAAACTCCTCTGTGATGTGGAAATGGAGTGAAAGAATCTCCTCCATGCAAGGAAAACGAGATTTTGCACTGCAGAGAGGCGTGGGTGGAGTTTAAATGGGGGATCCCAGGATCCCAGACAGGCTTGGGATGGGAGTAACCTTAAAGCCCATCCTGAAGTGATCCAGGATGGGATTCCCACACCTGCACTGCCTCTGGAGCTGCTCTTGGAGCAGCGTGGGATAGTGGAAGTGTCCCTGGCCATGGCAGGGCTGCAATGGGATGGGATTTTGTGGGATAAACTCCTCTCTGACATGGAACTGGAGTGAAAGAATTCCCTCCTGGGAATTCCTTCTTGGCAAGGAATTCCTGGTGGGGCTGGAATTCCCAGATTTGCTGTGGCTGCCCCTGGATCCCTGGCAGTGTCCAAGGCCAGGCTGGATTCCCCTGGGACAGTGGGAGCTGTCCCTGCCCACAGGAATTGATGATTTTTAAGGTCCCTTCCATCCCAAGCCATTCCATGATTCCATGGAATTCTCCCTCTGCCTGGATTAACACATCACACAATGACCCTGATCTCACATTCACAAATTCAGGTGTTTATCTGCTATTTCAACATTCAGACACATCTAAAAATTCCCTGAATTTAGCCCTGAAGAAGTGCCTGCATTTCCTGAGCCAGAACTGCACTGCCAGTTCTCCCAACAATCCATAAATCCATAAATCCCTGATTTTTGGGACGTGCCGATGCCACGGGAGCTCGGGCTGCCCCAGGCCAGGACTGATGGCTCCCCTGACACCCCCTCTAGCCCAATCATGGTTTTTATTCCTCTTGATTTCCAGAACAAAGGATTTATTCATCTTATCCCAAAATTTCCCAGTCCACACAACATCAACCTCCCAATCTCATTCCCAAATCCTGCAGGAGGCACGTTCCCAGAGCTGGGAGTGGGGCAGGGCTCTGGAAACACCCAAATCCCTCCTGCAAGTGGGGTTAAACAATCCTGCAGCTCATTTAACCCCTACAAGTCCAATTTTCCATGGAAACTGCAGCCCTGGCTGCCACCAGCACAGGGATGGCTCAGGGTTTAGGGGAGCTTTGCTCTGGGTTTGGATAATTGGGATAGGAGGGTTAATTTGGGATAGAAGAGTTAATTTGGGTCACAAGAGTTAATTTGGGATAGGAAGGTTAATTTAGGATGCAGGGGTTAATTTGGGATACGAGAGTTATTTTGGGATGCAAGGGTTAATTTGGGATAGAAGGGCTAATTTGGGATACAAGGTTTAACTTTAGATATGAAAGTTAATTTGGGATAGGAAGGTTAACTTGGGATAGGAGGGTTAACGTGGGGTAGAAGGGTTAATTTGGGATATAAGGGTTAATTTGGGATGCAAGGGTTAATTTGGGATCTGAGGGTTTGGACCCTGGACCCTTGGTGGGTTTTGGTGCAGAAGCAGGACACGAGCACAGGTTCTGTCCCTCAGTAAGGACAGGTTCTGCCCCTCCAGACTAGAACACCAGGAATTCCAGAGGAGCCAAATCCATGGATTTTGGAACCATCCCAGAGTCCCACTGATGGGAACCCATGGATGAGCTGGGGCCCAGGGACACAGGATGGGACACAGAACCCACAGGGCTCCACTCCAGGACAGGGCATGGAGCAGATGACACAAACATTCCAGAATTGTCCCTAAAACTCCACTGCTGCCCCCAGCCACGGCGCCGCTCCAATCCAGCCCTGGAGCCCTTGGGAAAAGGATCTGGAGCTGCTGGAGAGAGCCCAGCGGACATCAGGGAGCTGGAGCCAGAGCTGGGAATGTTCACCTGGAGAAGGGAAGGCTCCAGGGAGAGCTCAAAGTCCCCCCTGAGCCCCCTTTGCTCCAGGCTGAGCCCCTTCCCAGCTCCCTCAGGGATTCTGCAGCCCCTTTCCAGCTCCACCAGGAATTTTCCAGCCCCTTCCCAGCTCCAATCCCTTCCCTGGGCACACTCCAGCCCCTCCAGGTTTCTCTCCAAGACCCCAAAACTGGAATCGCTCCATTTCCACTTGAGAGATGTTTTTGGCCGATAAATCAATATTTTTCTTTTCAAATAGGACAAATCCTCAGGAGGATTCACTCTGGTATTCCCCATGGGATCTCCCCCATGAGGTCTCCTCCATGGGATCTCCCCCATGAGATCTCCTCCATGGGATCTCCTCCATGGCATCTCCTCCATGGCATCTCCTCCATGGGGCTCTGCCATGGTATCTCCTCCATGGCATCTCCTCCATGGAGGTTCCTTCATGGGATTTCCCCATGGGATCTCCTCCACGGGGCTCCTTGATAGGATCTCCTTCATAGGGGCTTCTCCATGGCATCTCTTTCATAAGATCTCCTCCATGGGATCCCCTCCATGGGATATTTCCCATGGGATTTCCTCCATGGGATCTCCTCCATGGCATCTCCTCCATGGGGGCTCCTCTATGGCATCTCCTCCATGGAATCTCTTCCATGGGGGCTGTTCCAAGGGATCTCCTCCATTCGGTCTCCTCCACAAGATCTCCTCCATGGTACATTCCCCATGGGAACTCCCCCATGGCATCTCCTCCAGGACACCTGGCCAGGTGCACCCGGGGGTCCCGTGGCTGCTGCCCCTCCCCCTGTGCTGTTCATCACCACAGACAGCGGCCCCTGCCCACCGTGGGACAGGGACTGGGGCAGGACAGCCCCTCCTGCCCATCCCCACTGCAGGGTCACCCCTGGGAGGTCACCAAAGGGCCACCACACCCAGAGGTGGGATTCGGACACTTCCCACTGTCCCAGGTGGATCCAAGTCCCAGTGTCCAACCTGGCCTTGGACACTGCCAGGGATCCAGGACAGCCCCAGCAAATCTGGGAATTCCAGCCCAACCCCTGCCCACCCTCCTAGCCAGGAATTCCTTGCCAAGATCCCAGCCCAATCTCCCTTTCCCAGTGGGAGCCATTCCCTGGCTCCTGTCCCTGCAGGCCTTGTCCCCAGTCCCTCTCCAGCTCTCCTGGAGCCCCTGCAGGCCCTGCCAGGGGCTCTGAGCTCTGCCTGGAGCCTTCCCTTCTCCAGGGGAACATTCCCAGCCCTCCCAGCCTGGCTCCAGCCCTGGTCCCTCATTCCATGCTGCTGTAGGAATGTGGAGCCCCCCAAGAGGGTCCCAGAGCAGGCCCCAGGAGGGCTCAGGGCTGAGGCCACAGTTCCATTCCCATGGAGGAAGGTGTGACCTCGCTCTGCTCGGATGTGGAGCAGCCATGGAAAGGAGGGAATGGATTTGCAGGGAGAAAACAAAGCCCAGAATCACTTGAACAACCCCAATTTCAAACTTCCAGCTTGTCCTTGATCCCCTCCATGTCTGCCCAGGGACTGTCACGGACAGGGTTGCAAACACCCCCCAGCCCAGGGACTGGTTGCAGCTGAAAAGATCATTTTCCTGACAAAAGAGGCATCAACAAGTGAGAAAAACCATCCAGAGGAGCAGAGAGAAATTCCCAAAGTTCTTCCCATCCAGACAGAACTTCCCAAAAGGTCCAGGACATGGCTGCATCCCAAGGAATGATGGACACATCCAAAGGTTCAATTCCCCAGGTCCTGCGCTGCAGCTCTGGATCTCTGAGCTGCCTTTCCTGACACACGGGGCTCAATTCCATGGGAAACATCCCAAATCCCAGGTGAACCAGCACTGGGAGGAAGGAAAAACCAACACCATCCCCAGGTTATGTGGTTCCCAAAACCCTCTGTCAGGTGCCAGCAAGCTGCAGCAGGAAGGGAAGAAGGGAGCACATCAAGGAATTCAAATTTCCATCCTGACACAGTCCCTTATCCAAAGACAAACCAGGACAAAGGAAAAGGCCAAAAATCGGGTTATGGAGCCACGTTTCCATGAGGGATGGATGTTCTCCAGCAGCACCAAGATGCTGGGACAGACTGGGGTGGGCATTTCCCAATCCTTGGCCTCTCTACTGAGCCCAGGAACGGGAATAGGGATAAAACCACAAAATAATCAAATCTGGAGACACATCCCATGTTCTCCAGCTTCTTCCGCACCTTCAGGACTCCCCCACAAGCAAGAAGCAAACCTCTTGAGACACCACAGGCACCCCACGCTGCCCAGTTTGGTGTTTACCTCCTCCTCCTCATCCTCATCCTCCACATCCAGGATCCCCGAATCCTGCTCCGACATGGGGCTGGTGTTCTTCACCTCCAGCTCGGAGCTGGCGCTGAATTCCTTCTTGGATTTCTTCCCCCCACCAATCCTGGGCTGCTGGGACACGATGTTGTCCAGGTTCCTCTGCTGCTGTGCCTAGGAGCAAACACAGATTCCACCTGGGGTTTCACTTGGTTTTCAGGCATGAGGAGCAGCCAGCCCTGAACAGGGACAAAGGAGGCCGGAGGCGCCACGCGCTCGGCGGAATTCCGACACGTCGCCTTTCCCCCCGAGCCAGATATTCCCAGATCCATTTGCAAAGCAGGCCAGGGATTATGCAACAATCCAAACACGCTCCTGACTCTTTCCAAATCCCAGCGCCCCGGCCCCCGTGCTGCCACATTGATCCGTTTACGGCCCAGCTGCGGCGATATTGGCCCGCGGGCCATGTGGTGACTGTCACAGGGACCTCCTGAACCGCCGGGTTTGTTCCTCTTTCCCAGCCGTGGCGGCACAAAACATTCCACATCTGGACCCCAGAGGTTCCTGAAAGCATTTTTGTGGGAGCCCAGGAGGGTTTAATTGCGCATTGTTGATGTGCGGAACGAGCTGTAAAAGGTGCTCAAGGAAAACGTGCTGGAAGCAACGGGATGGAGGGCTGGGAACACGCCGAGTTATTCCAGGGGTTCTGGGGTAGTCTGGCAGCTGAGGTCACACTGTGCCCTCCTGCAAAAATTCCACTGTTTTTCCTTTGATATGGAGCACAATAATCAACAGGAAAAATTGTTCAGCCCCACTTGTTCAGGAGCTGATCAAGTTCAAACCCAAGGGCAAGGAATGGGAACGGCACCAGCACACAAGGGGTCAAATCCCAGCCAAAACCAGGGAAAAAGGCCAATCCCATGGATGCAGCCCTGCTGGACACATGGGTTTGTGTGCTGGTGTAACTGGAAAATAAAAACTTGGAAAACCTGGAACTTATATGGATTTAGACACAGATTTAGAGGATTTCTCCCCTATTATCCTGTCGATTTTTTTATGTATTAGGAGAAAGGTGTGTGGGAATCATGGAATCACGGACAGGATGTTCAGGATCCTCTCATTCCATGGGCAAGGACACTTTCCACAAGCCCAGGTAGCTCCTGGACATTCTGGAATTCCAGGAGTCTCTGAGGTGGCAAAAGGCCTTCCCTATGGGAATGTGGCAGCCTGGATTTAGAAGAAAGCAGGAAAACCATTAAACCTGTTGGAGATTCAACTGTCAGCAACACCGAGAGAATTAAACATTATTAATTACTATTAAAAATCTCTAATTATCAATTACTTTTGCTACCTGAACAGCAGAGAGCACAGAGTGTGCTTAATCTGTGTGCAAACCTCCCAGATTATTTCCTTTTCAAAACTTGGAAGTTTTAACATCCCACCAAAAATAATTCAGGAGCAGCTTTGATTTTTGCCAGCCTGGAAATCCCTTTGGAATCTCCCCTTGGGAAGCAAAACCCCACCAGGGACTGAGCACTGGATAATTCCTACACCTGAGGAATACTGAAATCCAAGCATGGCATGAAGACGCCATTCCTTGGAAGATCCAGGCATGGACATCCCATTCCTCGGAAAATCCACCTCAAAGTGCTCCTCACCTTGAGCACACACAATCAGCTCTGAATTAATTAACCAGCTGGGCAACCCCTAACAAAATTCCCTGTACAAAGCTGCCCCTGGAGGCAGCTGCAGCAGGAAGAGGAGCGAATCCTTGGATGGGGATGTGAATCCTTGCGGGATGTGTTATCTCACAGCTCAACCTTGACCTCTAGTGGTTGGAAAGCAGGAGTAGCCCTGGAGTTTATTTACTCCAAGCGCTCCTCCCAGCTGAGCCAGGGGACTTCCAACCCCATCCCTTTAAAAAAAAAAAAAGTCTCTTCAGGGATGAATCCCAACAATGGGAATTTTTGCAACAGAGCCCCAGAGGGGAAGGTCTGGGTGGACACTGCCCAGAACAAAGTTTTGCTCCCGACGTCAGGACACGAGGCCGATGGGGAAAGGGGCATTTTTGGCACTGGGATTTTCGGACTTCAGAGGCAGCACTCTATAGAAAGGCCTTGCAACATCCCATAAAGGGAATTAGGACTTCAAAAAGGGGCGGGAGCGCTCGGTCCTTCAGAAGAGAACACAACAAAGAGTCGGGGCTCAGGCCCGCCCAGCGCTGCCATGAGTTTCCCAATGAGGCCTAATGAAGTTATAACCCTGAATCCACTGGAAATTCCCCCAAAAGAAAGCCCAGTGCACTCATTAAACCCTCCAGTTTATGTAATCCTTCTCCTTCTGGAGAGGGGAGAATCAAAGGGTGGGAAAAGGCGCAGTTTTGGATGAGGCCCTGAGCTGGACACGGCTCGTTAAGCAGGGTGGAGTGGGCCTGGAGAGCACAGGCGGTCATGGGAGAGGGAAATCTGGGATAACGAGCTGGAGGATGCTGCTGCCAGCCCTGGACTCCCCTGCCCCAGCCCTCAGCATGAAACACACGGGATTTCAGCCTGGACATGGAGCTGGTGCCACCAAGTATCCATGGAAGGATCACCAACCTTGGTCCCACCTCTGTTTTCCAACAGGGATTAATCTTCCCTGTGTTGGGAGCACATCAGGACATGGTCAGACATGGTTTGTCTTTGGATAAGGGACTGCGTCAGGATGGAAATTTGAATATTGATAAGATCCAAACCAAATGTTTATAAGATCTCATAAATTACAGTTATTTAGAAATCAAGGAAATCTGTCCCTCCGGCATTGCTCCAGGACAGGGAGCCCCACATGGAATTTACCTGCCAAGCTTTGATTTTGCACTTTTAATGCAAATAAACTGATTTATCAAGAGAAGAGTTTTGATCTGGATTGAAATCCAAGCACCAGCTGGGAAAATCACAGAATCTAGGAACAGTTTGGGTTAGAAGTGACCATAAATCCCATCCCATTCCACCCCCAGAGACACCTTCCCCTATCCCAGGGTGCTCCAAGCCCCAGTGTCCAACCTGGCCTTGGACACTAACAGGGATCCAGGGGCAGCCACAGCTGCTCTGGGCACCCTGTGCTAGGGCCTGCCCACTCTCTGAATAAAAAAAAAAGGAAACATTTGTATGCCCCAACCCCCACATATCCTAAAAAGCAGCCAGAGGATGCTGTCAAAGGCACAAAAGGTTTCCAGCCCACAAGGAGCAATTGGGACCTTGAGAAATCTTCACCTTTCAGGATTTTTGTGAGGAGAGTTTTAAACTGGATGAGATTTTCCAGGGATTTCTGGCTGAACAACCTCACATCACTGAGTGGAGCTTTGTTCCCTTCCCTTTCTGGGAACACTGGAGCCAAATCCCGACCTGCGATGGGCAGGTTCCCACTGCAGCAGGAACAGGAATGCCCCGAGCCCAGAATGAAGGAGTGATCCTGGAGCCAGGCCCTGCACACCCCGGGAGGAACGGGAATGGCTTTTCCATCTCCATCCCCACCAGGGCATTCCCAACCCCCCGCTCCCTCCCGGCAGGAAACGATCTGGACTGAGGTGACCTACAAGTGAGAAATATCGAATTTTCCTCAGCTCCGTGAAGTCAGCGAGGTTTGGGTTTCACTGTGAAGGAAAGGCAGGGCTGGGGGGAGGCCCAGAGGGAGCAGCTCTGGAGAAGTTCAGGATTATCCAAAGGAACTCCCCAGCTCATTCCCAGCACCTCCCCACGCCGGGGAGAACAACTTTTCCATGGATTCGTTGTGGTACAGGAAGGATCAAACCCGACCTGCAGAGGAGCACTGGGGGGTTTGGGGGCTCTGTTCCCCACAAAGGGATGAGTTCCCCACATCAAAGGATGGATGACACTCAGGGTGCCCTCGGAAAACTGACAGAAGCAGGGCTGAGGGAAGCCTAAAACCCTCAGGAGATGATAAATACAACCCAAAATCCCCCCGCTTTTTGGTGTGGTTTCCAGGAAAGTGAGGCCAGTTTGGGGTTATCCTGTGGGATTGCCTCCGTTATCCAGGACCATCAATCCTGGCTCGCTCTGCTCCACAGGAGCATAAAAAAGGCAGGAGAGCCAAGGCCTAGTCACAGCTGATGCTGCTTTTAGGAATCAAACACAAAATGTTGGGATCGTGGAGGTGAAGTTCCCTCCAAGCACAGCCACATCCCTCATCCACAGCAGCCTGGAGACCAGGAGCACCCCCATCATCCATCAGGGCAGAATTCCCAGCTCCTGGTGGGAATCCTCTATCCAGACTGGCTGGTAGGACAAGCAGAGGAACCTCTCCACCTTTGTGCACTGAGGCTGTCATCGGGCAGTCCAGAAGACTTTTAGGGGACCTGGGACAGTGAGAGGTGTCCCTGCCCATGGCAGGGTGTGGAATGGGATGGGATTTAAGGTCCCTTCCCACCCAAACCATCCTGGGATTATTTGGTGGTGTAAATCCTGTCTCCTGCACATCCCTTCACTGAGGGCTCGACCCTGCAGGATGCAGCTTTGGGGGTTTCTCTTCAAACCCTAAAATTCCCAGAGAGGTGTGGACTCCTCATCCCTGGAAGTGTCCAAGGTCAGGCTGAACAGGACTTGGAGCAACCTGGGATGGTGGAAGGTGTCCCTGCTCATTACAGGGGTGGGATGGGATGATTTTTAAGGTCCCTTCCAACCCAAACCATCTTGGGATTCAAAGCCCTCAGCAGGAAGGACTTCCCTCAACATTCCAGGATCCATCCCAAAAAACTCCCACAAGCCTGAGAACAGCAACTCCACCTTCCCACCCCTCACAACCAAACTCACCCAGCCCAACTAAGCTGGAGCTCAATTTTTGTAGCTGAATTTTACAGAGTTGGGTTTTTCAAAGCAACTCAACTCCTCGAGATCGAGTGACCCCGGCTGCAAACCCACAGCCTAATGCCATGAAGGCATTCCCAGCTCCATGGGATCATTCCCAGTGCCATGGAGTCATTCCCAGTACCATGGAGCCATTCCCAGTGCCATGGGATCATTCCCAATGCCATGGAGTAATTCTCAACTCCATGGAGTCACTCCCAATGCCACAGAATCATTCCCAAAGCCAAGGGTTCATTTCCATTTCCATGGGATCATTCCCAGTGCCACAGGATCATTCCCAAGGCCATGAAGTCATTCCCAGTGCCATGGGAA